AATTCCAGAATAAAAAGACAGATCATTAGGTCTCTGAAAATCTGAACTTAGGTATGGCAAGAGAATGGACTTGTAAATTGATATACTTCTCAAAAATGGATGCACTTCTCAAAGTATCTTGTGAAATTTTGCATCGCCTGCTGCAGTGGGTAGGAGAACAAAAGCTAAGGCTAACACTACTGCTTTCTGTTGGTTGGTACTTGACATCCTAGGTTTTTATCAATGGTATCCTTTCTCCTTCGTCAGTCCTTCAAAATTACTAGTTTTCCTGTCCTCAATTAACTTTGTCTAAGCACTTGGCAACTACGAATACAGTTTCTCTTCTTTTTTCAATATTCCAACAGGAATTTCTGTGAAAGTTGCAAGACTTCTAATCTTCATGTGTGGACTGAATATATCACTGTTGTGGTACATCTGAGAAGCATGATCATTCCAGAACTTGGTTGCCAGATTAGTAGTTGCTCCTTGTTGTATGACCATACCCAGAGGGAAAATATTTGGAAATATTAGCTCTGTTAGAAATGTGCTTTTGAAAAAGGCTGATTTTTGAAAAGCAGAGTAGCAAGAGGCATGGCTCTGCTGGCTTCTGACTTAGATCATCAATAAGGAAAATAGAATTACTTTAATGTTAGAGATCCATATTATATGCTTTCAGTTTGTGCATAAGTGGTCTTATTCATCAAAAGCCACAAAATGTTAAAGACCAGATTAGCCAACTACGTACATAGCTGGATTAAATTTGTTCCTCAGTGGGCTTCCTCTTGTGATTGAAGAACATGGTGTATGCTGTTGTGAATGTCCCTTGCAGGCTGCATGCTAGTAATACCATTTCATACAGAAGGGTTCTACTGGCATGTCCAGAAAAGTTTCTGATCCTCTATTTCATAAATATGAAGTAATACAGTATATCAAAATAAGCTAGGTTAAATGCAATATTAAACTGAGCTCTTGTTAGAGGTCCTTGTTAGCATCAATGTTTTGGTTTACTTTATCTCAACTATACTGTGCCAAAGAATCATTACATAAAAATGACATCTTTTAGTAAATATAATCTGGATATGGTTCATTTCTGTAATTTTCTTTTTTCAATAGATTTAGTCTATGAAAAATCAAGCCTCCATCTTGATATATCCCCTTATTTACCTAACTTGCATTCGTAGGTCATATGTAAGCTTGAGAAGGAGAGCCCGTTTATAAAGTTTAATCACTCCGATCGTATCGAATGAGCAGTAGTACTGTGGTATATAGTGGTCCTTCAATTTAATTACAGCATATCTGTAAATGTAGCATTTAGTACACTTTCTTCTGGATTCTTAGATACATGAGTAGGAGGCATGTATGTGAAGTCTCCCAAATTGATAACCTCATCACGATTCCTATCTCTTTTGTATATAATTAAAATACAGTAGTTTGCCTATGCTGTTCTGAGCTCTAATCCACCTAAAGAAAGAGAAATGGCAGCTTTAGACATAGTGTCTTGCCAAGATTTGTACTCCCACTTTGCTAATTCACACTCTCTTACCTAACTGGCTAAAAAAAAAAAAAATACTTCAACTGATTTCTCTTGTTAACGTACAACCCCTCAAAATTAGAATAAAAAGTTTAATGGCCTAAACACAGTGCAGTCCTATTTGAAAAGCCTGATTTATCTTCTGTGGTTCCTTTTTTTTTATACTAGTATTTCCTTGTTATGCCCTTGGTATTTCATAGCTGTCCTTTTTAAGCACTGAAGCAATTAGTTTTGAGAAGGCTGATTCTTCAGGGTCCAGTGCTTTCCTGCCTTTCATTCGCCGAAGCTGTACATTTTAATGAAGTTGTTTCATCTGTTTTGCCAAACACTAGAATTTTGCTGCTTCAATCCTAATTATTTCTGCTGGCAAATGCTGTGTTTTATTAAAGCTGTCAAGTGCACTGTTCATTAAATGTCCACACTCTGTGGTGCTGTGCACACAAATTAGATCGGATTTGCTCCTTGATAGATTATGAAGAAGTAAAATATTTTTATATAAACGTCTAAAATAGGGTCTAACAGCGATCAGTGATGACTTAGATAAGTAAAGCATACCTGTAGCTTCTTGAAACCTCATGTCTTGTTAAAAACCATCTATGGCACATATGTTAAAACTCAAGTATACCGTTTGTAAGATTATTTTATTCACTAAGAGACCATTTTCCTTCCTCAAGATACCTATGTTGCATCTTGAATTCTAGTGTATATGTGTTTAGGGTAAGATAACGTTTGTTATATATGCTTTGATATAAGTAAAAACATCAGTGCTAGTCTTTCGGTAGAGGGTTGTATAGTATAATGGATCTCCATTAAAAGCAAAGATGGATTCATTTTAATGTTGCTAACCTGGTGTACGCAGAAGATTGCTGTCATAAGCAACTACCAGCTTCTCTTGTAATTGCATATCTCAAAAGGGAATTTTACTAGAAGATGTTTACTTCAAATATATAGGGCAGTAATAGAAATATTGTACTTGCAAAGAAAATATTTGAGTCGGGTCTCGTTTTGGCACTTGTGGAATTTTTTTATTTTATGTATTTTATATTCTTAGTGTATGTATCATTATCTTCAATAACACAAATAGTCACTCTTATTATTTAATGTATTCTTTTCTAAATGTTCTTTAGGAGAATTAATAAGATACTGTGATGATAGACTACCAGATAAACACGTTGTTGATCTTTTGAAAAGATGTTTTTCTTACCCTTCAGCTATCTGTAGGAAATAACTTCAAATTTATTTTTAGTACCATGGCATTATGGTATCTCTCTTCTGTATTGTTTACCTTATCTTTTGAAGAAGGTAGTGTTTATACTTTCCAACATTGCTTTTAAATTTATCAGGCTGTATTTTAAACCTTCAGAGGAACAAGTATTTATTGTACTCTTTATAGGAATCATAAATGACATCTCAAAGTGCTCTGTAAATAGAACTTTGGGGCATTTGGAGATATATATATATTTTAGGGTTTGGTAGGAAACTACAGTCGTTCAAAAGACTGGGAGCCACTCTTCCTTGTCTCTCCTCCTTACAATACAGTTTAAAGTGCTCTAGTACAGATAGAAAATTCGTGCAGCCTGAAGTTGAATAGGAGGCTGTGTATGTGTATTTCTTTATCTGTTAATGTATTATGCCTTATCCTGTATATTTCATGGCATTTACAGGAAATAATAACATTTAATTTTAGTTTTTGAGTGCAGAAACAGAAATTAATGCTCTCAAAGCAACCATCTGAGCCTCTGCCTGTCAAAACCTTTCCTTCAGCAGTTAAATGTTTAAAGGAAAACATTTGTTCTTCATATAGCATGACCCTTTATACCACCGTAACAGAGGACTTTCCGAAGTGGCGTTGAAGATGCATTTCACAGTATCCTGAATTTTGTCAGACTAGTCAAGAAATAAAAATTGGGAGTGTCTCACTTGAGAATTTCTTGCAACCAGTTAGGTGATGTTTCCAGGCAGGGTTTCAAGTAATATGGCTTATCCTAAATGCGGTGCTGATGACTTAGTCCAGGCCCAGCCCAAAAAGTGGCTTATAAAATAGAGATAGCACTCTGAATGGCACTCATAGGTTGACTTGTAGTGCGTTCTTGGAAGAATAGTAAAATACGTTCTTTGTGATTGCTGCTGGCTAACAGTCAAGCAGCCTAATTCTGCACCAGCTATGGTGTTTAAATGGTGGGTAAGATTTTTGCAGAGAAGGATAGATTGCTGCTGTTGTTTTCAAGCATACATCTGAGACAGAAGGTCATAAATACCTGAGCAAAGAGATGTAGAAAATAAACTGTTCTTGGCCACTGGAGCTCATCTCCTAAAGGAACTTTCAGGGAGAGTGTTCCTTTGACTGTATTTAAGGGCTGAAGTAATTGCTGTCATCTGAAATACTTAACTTCAGACCAATAATCTTTCATCTTGTTCAACTTAAATTTTAACGTTTTTCAAAGACCTACTGTCAGACAGGAGATGGATCAGAATAGATGGCATATTCTGTGGCAGTGAAGTAGTTGAGTGATATCAATACATTGAGAGATTTAATGGGAAAGGGAAGCATGGAAGTCACCTAGGTGCATGTGAAAAGTCTACAATATGTGAAATATGACAGTTTTTTCTTAATGTTGTTATCTTCACTTTGGATGTATGTTCCTATTTGGATTTGAGTCTGAAAAAATCGGACAAAATATTTCCTGAACCTTCTAGGGAGATTTGAAATGTATTCAGGCTTCTATTTGTATCGAGACTCAGATTTGGAGGAGCTTGTCCTATTTTGGCCTCTTGGAAGTTACCTGAGTTATTACTGTCACTAGTGTGAATAAATAAATGCTTTTATTGCACTGCCTTATCCACCCTTTTCAGATTGAGTGTGTAAGTGTGTTAACTGTAACATAGGAAAAGAAACTTCTTTATAAACTCTGATGCGTTCCTCTTAAAGTATAGTCTCAGCAAATTGTGAAAAATCACTGAAGCAATTGTCAAGCGTAAAACAGACACGAGTGATGCAATTCAATACAGAAATAGGTCTTTAATGTGGATGTGAAATTAATTTTATTTTTATGAAAGTGTAGAAACAAAACCAACAAATGGATTTTATGACTTACTGTGGATTATCAAGTTGAAACTGAAAAGAGTATAATTAATACCATTAATAAAAGAAATACCATACAAAGGGAAATGTTCCTGGTTCTGAATATATAGAGATTAGGCTGATAAAGCTCTCTGCCATTTTTAAAATTCCTAACATTTTAGACCTAACTAGGAACTCTTCCAGTTCATGGGAGAAATTTTAGTCCAAGATTTGAGATTTGGCTCCCTAAAACTAATATGATCTACTAAGATATTTGGCTGGTTTTCTAGTATATTAAATGTTGAACTTTAAGCAATTGAGAGAGTATTGCGTTTGTATTACTACTTTTTTGGAAGGGAATAATCTTCTAACCTTGCAAAAGGGAAATTATATTATTTTTATTTTGGGCTTTTTTTGTTGTTTTTGCAGGAACACCAAGACAGTATACTTGGGAATACAATGCAAACTGTAATCGCCTTACTGAATAACATAGTTGCTAACAAAAGCATGAACATGATGTTACTCTTTAAAGAAGGTACGTCATCTTTAATTATTCTCCTTACTATAGATGTTTCCCAGTCTGTTGTAATGTCTGGCACTGTGTGAAACTGTAGACTCGTGTGTATTTATATTTTATAGTGGTTGTTAGATAATTGTATTTTAACTGACTGGTATTCCTCATCACTTTATCTACCTACCTTATTGATTTGATTCTAAATTTAACTTTTAGAAAGCTGTTCCTCCAAGAAAATATGGTTACCAAAGAATTACAGACTGAAAGTTACGTTATGCCCATGAAGAACAGCTTTGGAAAGGAGGGGGCTAGAGCTCTGACCGAAACAGTGCAGGGAGCAGGCAGAGACAGCCTCTGCAAGTTAGTTCTTTCTCACTGCTCAAACCTGTGAAAGGATGTTGTAGAATATTTCTGCACTTCTTAAAGAACTAGCTTCTGTTCCAGTCCAGTGATGTAGTCTGATAGGGTAGAGCCCAAATTTACTGTGAAGTCTTAGTCTACAAACCATTCCATGTCTTCATTTCACTATGTTTTATTATAGAAGCTCCTTTTATTTAGAAATTGGTTCTGGTTTACAAAATGAAGAGAAAGTTCCTGCTGTTGAAAATCTGTATAAATTCAAAAACTTGTTTAGAAATATACACACTGATAACGTTACTTTTGTTTATCATTAGTGAGTGACATCCAGCAATGCAGATCTACACTTCTCTTTATACTATTGATATAGAATAAATCAAAGACCTAGACTACTGGCATAGCAGTATATAGCATGCTCCAGAAAGAAAAGGAAGAAATTTGCGTAGAGAGGCAGTGAAGAGACAGCTAAGTCTCTTGTGAAGCCAAGAGTTGAGAGAAAACCTTCTAAAACTCCCTAGGAAAAGACTGGGTAAGGTGCAAGGGGGAAAATTCATCAGTGTAGCTTTTCTATAGTCATGGCATCAGAGAAGGAGCCAGATCAGACATAGTATGATTAATGACTTAAGTATACACACTGATGATGATGAGTGAATTTGAAGAATTGGATCTGCCTTAGATATGCAATTAAAAAAAAAAAAATCAGAATACATACCAGCCTAAAACTCCATCAATATTGGTAGTAGTGGTCATGTCCTCGTTTTGGTAATTCCCTTAGCAGTTAAAGCACTCACCCAGAAAGCAGGATTGCTGAATTCCTGTTCCATTTTACTATGAAGGGATTGAATGGACAATGCCATCATTCAGGAGATGAACTGGAACTTGACATTGTAGCTAATGACATACTCCTTTCTTCTTTTTCGAACGGATCCATTCTGAAGTTAGTGGTGTGAGAACAGGGCCAGAAGAAAAGAAAGAAGAGGAAAAGATGACTGAATTGGAGAGGGATGGTTCATAGGATTCTGCTTCTTTGGTTATTTCTCACAAAGTGCCTGTCACACTTAGAACTGCTTGGGGCTTCTTTGGGTTTAGCCGTATGTGCTGCTTTTGGGGCACATCTGCTCTGCGCCGGGCAAAATTCTAAGCTAGCACTGACCTGAGCTGCAACAGGATAACCTATTAAAACTACACAATGACACGCAAAGAAGTTGACTCAAGTTCCACAAGTACTGTAACCACGTAATTGGCATGCCTTACTCCAAGTAATATGCTTTGCCTTTCTGCATGGCAAATTAGGTGCAAAACTGTTTAACATGGCAAAACTGCATCCATTCCCTAAATATTTCCCCTTTATTGTCTCACAGAGCAAACTCCTGTGTACTTTTTATGCTGCTGATAGTATATCAGTGCTCTTTCACTTCTCATATGTTCCAAAATTAAAATTAAAATGCATCTCTTCCATCATGCTAGTTTCCAAATCAAGGAAGTAGGGTAGGAACATTATTAAAGTCTTTTATCTTTTCCTTGTGCTATGTCATAAATGATTCCAGTAATATTTTCAGACTGTTAGTGATTGGATAACACTAACATGGGCTCACTGAGTTTCAGCATCCTGACTAGGAAAAAGAGCGCAGCAGCCAAAAATAATTTATCTCAAGTAATATGTCCTCATCTTCTCTCATCCCTTTTCCCCATTGGCTGATCTTGAGAGTACTGAAAACCTGGATTTCAGCCAGTGCTTTGTTGATTAAGGGCCTAATTGTCAGGTAAAGAGCTGCTGAAATTTGATTTGCAAGAATGTTATGAAGGTGTCGATCTTGTATCTGTAGACTGTAAAATTTTCTTTGAATGAAAAAGAGAGAAAAGTTATTCCACTCAAACTGGAGGGCTTCTTATCCTTTTTATTACCAACTGTAAATATTTTCCTGTAGTGAACACTATATACCTTAAACTTCCTCTGCCACTATCTTTGATATTCAGCTTTCATTTTTGAATGATTTTTTGTGTGATAGAGGAGAACATGATCTAGTAAAATGGAAACTAAGCTACCTCTTGCAGAAAAGGATCCTGGAGTCCAAATACAGAAGTTGAACATGAGTCAGCAGTGTACCATTGCAGTAATAAAGGCAAAAGAGGGCTGTGATAAGAAAGAATAACTGGAAGGTTGAGGAAAGTGGCGATTCTTCTCTATTCAGCACTCATGAGATTTCATCTAGAACACAGTGTCTGATTTTGAGCTCCAAACTGTAAGACATTGACAGACAGGAGCAAGCCCAGAGGAGGGCAATCACGATGTTTAGGAGGGCGGACCACATGGTGTGTGTCTTTTCAGCCTGTACCATTACATTAATTTAATCCTTGCCAAGTGCAGAACTTTGTATTTACCTGTGTTAAACTTTAAGAGGTTTCTGGCAACCCATTTTTTGAGCTCTTCACCTTCTTGAGCTGTTTCTGAGTGTTAGCTCAGTTCTTCATCGCGTCAACGGCTTGCCTCATTTCAATGTCATCTGCAAGTTTGCTGAAGGTGCATGTTATTCCATCTTATTAACACTCTGTGTCCATGCTGTTAATGAAGGCATTCAACATTCATGACCTATTCTGCTATCTTAAAAAAAAAATAAATGCTGAAGAAAGACTATTGTGGGTCATCAGTTTCCTTTATTTCCCCATTACAGCGTGATAATTAATTCATGTGTATATGAAGCTTTAGAAATTAAAAACCCTAAATACCTGCTAAACATTTGTTTCCAACAGTCCAGACGTTAGAAATGAGGATTTCTTTCTGATTCTGTGTATGCCTTTCTTCAGCTGCCAATAAGCAGTATTTTTGCAGACTGATCATTTAGAGACCCTTGTTACTGTTCCCTTTTGTGCCTGTTATCCTTCAGAACTCTCTCCTGCTCAAAGGAGTTGTATTAGGTGATAGATTTTTTTAGTGAGTTGTAGCTTACGTGTTGAACTTTCCCCTTTCTCAAGGAAATCTTGCATGATGGCACTTGATTCATTAGTACTTCTGTGATTTCATATTAATAAAAATGATACGGTTGTGCATTTCAGCAATTTGCATACAGGGTGGATTGCTTAGCATTAATTTCTCTCTTCCCTGGACTCTGTCCTTTTGTGTGACAATACATCAGACATGTAATGATAACCACTTTTAAAGTTTAAAGGTGAAATGGAGAATAACATATGGAACTAAAGTTGCAGAGGGAATTTAAAATGGCCTGTACTTATCAGCTATTAAACATTTGTTCTGTTAACATTAATGACAATTTCCACTTAATAATCAGAGGGTAATAATATGATTCAGTTTAATTACTGAGACTGGAATTCAGTGAGGAAACATGGATTAATGTAGAGTCTCTTGTGAATAGTTAAGGTGAGATGCTAAACAGCCAAGACAATACTGGTCATCTTTAGCATGGTCTTCTAAGAATGCGAGACTTCCCCTCTTTCTGTCTGTCTTGGCTTCTGTCTTCCAGTCTCTTTCTTTCCTCCCTTTCCCCATCTTTTGAAATCACTGGACAATTTTAAGTTAACTTGAGAGAGCACAGAAGTCCAAATATACAAAGTATGTTTTTATTCTATAATAACCAATATCTCAGGAAAGGAGAGAGACCCAATTTAGTGCCATAGCTTAGGGAAAGGCAATAGTATGAGCTTATCAATTAAATGTTCCTGGCTAATATACAGCAAGCAGAATAGTACAATACATGATGCACACAAAATATAGATATATGTACTTATACATTTACAGAAAGAAAGGAATTTTAATACCTCAATTTTCCAAATTACAAAATTTTTAAAAGCATTAAGTTTGCAGCCTATTATCTTGGACCATCCCTATGGAAATTAGATTGCAAAAATGCCAAAGATGTCATTTCACCTTCATGTAGGAACTAAAGAATGTAAATGTGAGAGCAGCATCATTCTTGAACAGTTTTCCTTCTCTTATACAGTTATGACATGATCAAAGTGGAGCTAACTGGTCTGAATTTATGACCTGGATTATAATAGTTCTTACTGATGGAGTTGAAACAGTCTCATCTGTGAATTCTTTTCCATTAGCATTTATTAGATTAAATTATAAAGCATAAAACTTGTACTCTTATATAGTATCCTCAGGTCTACTAATAGGCCTGTAAAGATCTATTAATTGGTATATCTGCCTGGTCTCTTCTGTATTCACTTCCCATTTGGTTTCTAGGATATCTGCAGTCTTCTGGTTTAGGTCTGTAGCCACCGAGTTCAACAGTGTGTTGGTTGGTGCCTAAGGAGGGTACCTACGTAATAAGTGCTTGGGAAGAACTACCACTAGAGTACATGCTTATAGTTGGGTGACACAGGACAAAGCAATGCAAAGGTTTCGGAAACAGGGAAAGGGATTCATCAGTGATGATGATGGCAATTTATTACCATGGAAGTAGACAGGTCATCAGTGGTGATGATGGCAACTTATTACCATGGAAGTAGGCAGGAATATAGGATGCAAATCTGTGGGAAATGGGGTATTGTTAGTTCTGCTGATCGTCAAACAACCAGCTGAGTATTACTTTGTGCTTGTCGTATTAAAAGGGTTAACATTTGGTGACTATAAAATGAACACAAGTTTCTGGGTGCTGGAAACATCAGCTCTTCAGCAAGTGTTGTAGGAGTACAGTAGGTGA